AATTTGTGGAACTCGCGGGGACGAATCGCACAAGATAAAGCTCGCTAATTCATGAATTCGCTAATGCTCAAATTCGATACATTTTTTTATCATGATACAATATCAGTTAGTCTGATTTCTCATTCACAAGTTATTGTTATCATGCTGTCTTCCAAGCTCACTTTGAACAACATCTCTGAGGAGGAGATCAAGGGCAAGAGAGTCCTCATGCGCGTTGACTTCAACGTCCCCATCAAGGAGGGTCGTGTTGCTGACAAGACCCGTATTGTCAAGACCATCCCCACCATCAAGCGCGTCATGGAAATGGGTGCCCAGAGCATCGTCCTTATGAGTCATTTGGGCAGGCCCCAAGGTCAGAGAAAGGAGGAGTTCTCTCTCGCCCCTGTTGTCCCTGTTCTCGCCGGTCTGTTGGAGCACGAGGTTACCTTCGTCCCCGACTGTGTTGGTGATGTCGCTATCAAGGCATGTGCCGCCCCTGCTCAGGGAAGTATCATCCTTCTCGAGAACCTCCGATTCCACATTGAGGAGGAGGGCAAGGGTGTCAATGCTAACGGCGAGAAGGTCAAGGCTGCTGCTGAGGACGTTGCCGCCTGAACGACGCCTTCGGAACTGCCCATCGGGCTCATTCCTCCATGGTCGGCGTTCAGCTGCCCGTCCGTGTTGCCGGTCTGTTGATGGCCAAGGAGCTCGAGTACTTCGGCAAGGCTCTTGAGAACCCTGCTCGTCCCGTTCTCAGCATTCTCGGTGGTGCCAAGGTCGCTGATAAGATCCAGCTCATCAACAACATGCTCGACAAGGTCGATCTTATGATTATTGGTGGTGGCATGGCCTTCACTTTCGCCAAGACCCTCTACGGTACCAGAATCGGTGGCTCCTTGTACGACGCTGAAGGTGCCAAGATCGTCCCTGAGTTGATGGAGAAGGCCAAGGCTAAGGGTGTTGAGATCCTTCTCCCCACTGATTGGCTCTGTGCTGATGCCTTCTCTAATGATGCTAACACTAAGGTGTGCACTCAAGAGGAGGGAATCGATGATAAGTGGATGGGTCTTGATGTCGGTCCGGAGTCCACCAAGCGCAGCATTGAAATGGTCAAGAAGGCCAAGACCATCGTTTGGAACGGTCCTCAGGGCGTGTTCGAGTTCCCCAAATTCGCCACTGGTTCTCTCGCCGTTTTGGATGCTGTTTGCGAGGCCACCAAGGAGGGTGCAATCTCTATCGTTGGAGGTGGTGATACTGCCGCTATGGTTGAGCAGGCCGGCAGGGCTTGTGAGATCTCTCATGTCAGCACTGGCGGCGGAGCCTCTCTTGAGTTGCTCGAGGGTAAGGAGCTTCCTGGTGTTGTTGCTCTTAGCGGTAAGAACTAAGTCTCTATTGTTTACGATATAGCAG